GCAAACGTTGGCCACTTTTGAAATAGACTCAAGAAAGCAAAAGCCGACCGACGTACGTGGAAAACGTTCAGTTCGAAAAATATGCTCAAAAATGCCCACTCACCAATACTCAAGTACATTCTATGCGTTCATGTGAGCCAGGTAAGCACACCACACACACACCTGCATACACAGGTAGATGTCAAAACACGTAAACTTGTTGCTGGCAACATGAGCGAAAAATGTTGCCCGGCAACTTTTCGCTGGCAACCCGGTTTGGTTTTGGACCTTTTTATTGGACACCTTTGCGTCTGTGTGGGTACAGGTGTGTAGAGTTTTGGCTCACTCAAATCGCTCGAATGTGTGGTGAGGCGACAAAGCTACAAAATCCGCCTGCAAATGGGCAGCACTGGCAACGGGTTTCGCCTTCAAAATTCAACTCCTTTCCTTAACCCTACAACTTTTGGGTTCATAAAAAATATTATAAAATATTTTTAAGTACTTTAAAAATTATGTTAAATTAAGTCCATAAATTAGGCGAAATACTTGTCCAATGTCATTAGGTTTATATTTTGGGATATTAAAATAAGTTTAAGTTCCATTTAGTGAAATCTTAAAAATAAATGATCTTCCTTGAATTCTGTTTTCAAAGAATAAAAAAATATTATTTTAAAAATTTAAATATAATCTCTATTTTGATTTATTTACCAAAAGTAATATTTTGAAAATTTAAATGATCTCTATTTTGAATAAAAAGAAAGAACTTGAAAAAATATTTTTTCAATTTGCAATTTCTGTTTTTAAAAAATTGTATTTATAAAAACTAAAAATAATATTTAAAAATTAAATATAAATATCTTTTATGATTTTTATAACAAGGGTTAAGGAGAAAGAATTAAAAAATTTTGCAACTTGCAATTCTGTTTTTATAAATTGTATTTATAAAACTAAAAATAATATTTAATATAAAGTACATTTTAGGCCTATTTGATTTATATACCAAAGGGTTAAGCCAGGAACAAGCCCTGTTTCCCTCTCTTTCTATATGTGCCCCCTTTTTTTGTGCGAAGGAGTTCTCCAGTTGTTGTTGCTGTTCAAGTTTGCAATCAAAGATAAAAGAAAAACTTGGCAGAATTCTCCTGAAGCTTTTGTTGTTTCTGTGGCTGTTGGCATTGCGGCAGTGTGAAGTTGGTATTTATAGGAATGTTTGGTTGTTGTTGCTGTTGGCAGTACTGCCGTGAATTTGCAATGAGCGAAATGGCCAAGGAACTTAAAGGCAGGTAAAAAAGGAGCTCAACAGATGGCTGGAGAAGTGCAATGAAATGCAATGAGTCAGTCACCGGCTGCAAGGGCGTAATTCCACATAAATATATAGATTTTCGATTTGCAGGTAGGCTTTGGAATTCCATTATCATAAACTTTGTAGTGATTGATTTTTATGACAAGGAATTTAAATTGATAAATAAAAATGGCCAGGAAAATATAAAAAATTTATCTAGTTACTTTTATTTTTAATATGTAGGTACATTGTAGAAAACTTGTATTTTCAAACCCCTTAAATGCATCCAAAACTTTTTAAAAACCCATTATCGTAGACGCCTTGAGCAATCCAAACCAACAAAAGAAAATAAGTTTTCAGTTTACTCAAGTGGCTGGAATGAGTAGCCAAAAGTCAAGAGAGATGACCAAGGAAAATGGGGAAAACCAGAGTACAAAACGTTTTTAATCCCATAACCCAAATAGCGATGGGTCAAAAACTTTAGTATTAACCCAGGTCATGTAGCAACTATTTACAAAACGTTGCATAATGACTTTTGAGTTTTACCTATTTAAATTATCTATTTGATTAGTTCTGCTGATATCGTCCGTCTAGTTTAGTTTTCTTTTTTATTTTACAAATTCAATTAACTTGACGGTTTGTTGAGGCGCTGATTTTTATCTTGTGGACGGGACTTCGTTAATGACCTGGCTTATGTGAAGCAATTACCCAAAAACTTATGCACTGCAATTACTTTATATCTCTACGTTGTCGTTTTCCATTTTTTTTTATTTTCTTGAGTGTTGAGCACGTGCAACATTTCAAATTGTCGGCGTGCCTTTTTTGTTTGTCTTTTTTTTTTGACACAATTATTGTTCCGCTGGGTCTTACGAAAAAGTCAGAGACTACGCCACCTGGTGGCTATTGCCGGTGATTACAAATTAAGAGGGGCGGGGGGAGTGGCTTTGGGGCTGTGTCCACTGTATTGCAATTGGGTAATTTGATTTGTACACGAAAGTTAGCTGCACTGCCACAAAAATTATGAAAACTATTTCTTTGTTTTTAATCTCGTTTAGCACATCAATAAAAAATTTAAACATAATTTAAAAATATTAAATTTATAAAATAATTAAAATAACTGAACAATTTAGTATAAATAGTAAGTTTAATTTTAAAGTTAATATTTATTATTTTTAAATTTTTTCTGTGCATGCAAAAAGTTTTATGGCATGTAATTTATGAACAAAAATGTATTTAGACTTTTACGATTTAGCCTGGGAGAAGATTACAATAAAGATTGTGTAAGAATATTGTCCTAAGGCATACAGCATTATTTCGATTTTATCATATTATTAGAGGGTTTTTTTTCCAAGAAATTTTTATTATTTGGTATTTGATTTGTTTCAAGGAATAGTTTGAGTTCAATGTGTTACTGTGTAACTCTAAGTTTCATGAATATAAAATATTTTTAGGATGCCAGGAGATTGTTCCATATATTTTATTTTATGTCATTCAGAAAGTGTTGATTTTGACTAAAAAACATAAGCTCCCAGTTTAATTAAATATCTTACGGATTTTCCCCTCTTTCTTGATTGAGTATACTCTGCCTTGCATTTTCAATAAGCTGCAGCAATTCGTCTACAAAAATATCTTGGCACGTGACTGCCTTGAAATACAAAATAAAGACAAAAAACTGGCGTCAAAAGAAAATCTGTGAAATGTTTTTAACAAGTTAGTGGCCCCACTTTCTTCGCTTCCCCCAGCGGAACCTCAGAAAAGATACCACAGAAAAGGGAAAAGAGACGAAGTCGTGTGCCTTATTCGATTTACGAGCCACTGCAGCCAAAGGGGAAGTCCCCTGGCAGACTTGAGCTGCATTCCAATTGTTTTAACTTTTTGTTTTCTTTGCATTTGGAAGTCACACTGAATAACATTTCCCAAGCAAAATGTATTTATTCGCCAGCATTTTGGCTAAAATTCCTGAACCCTTGAAGATCCGACTCTGAAGCTAGAACTTAAAGATATAAATTTATGCTTAGTTCGTTTGGGTTTCCACTTGCAATTTATTTCATTTCATTCGAGTTCTTAATGGATTTAAACACACGGCGGAAGTTGAGTCATGGGCAAAGGCGAACTACACTGGGTTTGGATTGATTGAATCGAAATTTTATTGATTTCCTCAATTTGTATCCTTTTGGATCGAATTGGGTTCAAAGTATAATTCAAGAGGCTATTGAAAAATATTAGAGGTTTTAGCTTTTAAACCAATATCTTTTTTTCCAATTTATTTTAAAAATTTATCTAGAATATTCTGATAGCCCTTAACCCACTGTCATGACCATGTTTAAAAGCACAATCAACTCAACCAATTTCTCAAACTCAAGTGCTCCTCAGAGTCCAAATCTGGATGCGAAACAGAAGCGCATAAATTCTGCCCCAAGCTAAAGAAGAGTTAAGCCAAAAAAAAATTATATATAAATCCACTAATGACTATAGCGAAAAACGAACCAAAAAAAACCAAATAAAAGAATAAATCGTCATGGATGCCTGAATAGCAGCGGGTTAAAAATGCATAAAATGTTCACAAAGGAAAAAGGGCCCCAAAATAAGTAAAGGGAACCGCAACAGAGCTTTGACTTTGATGGTTTTTTGAGAAATTGAAAGGGGGGCTGGAAGTGAATATCTTTTTTCGGGGCAGGTGTGTTCGAGGATGCCAAATTAGCAGCTACCGCCTGACCAGACCAGCTCCACCTCCTTTGCCACTCTCTCACCTCGTTTATTTCTTCATTCCATTTCCTTCAAAAGCCCCCCAGCGAAATTTCGAACATCATTAATTTTAATTTTTGCGCAGACGCACCCCAGGGGCGGTAGGCTTCACTGCCTCCATTCTGGCCAGTGCAGACAAGCGGCGAATATGAGTGATGACGACCTGGCGGAACGGGCCACACCACCTCCATATATCCACGAATGTAATTAAGGTGGCCAAATGGAAAAAAGGTGCCACAGCGACAATTGAAAGTGTTGCAATGGCCAGTTGACAAATTTCCAAGTTGCTCAAGAGCAATGCAAAGTGGTGATTGATTGCTAGGGCTGGAGTATCCAGTAAAGAATTTCAAAATATTAAAATTGGGCTATGAAATTTTTGAAAATTTTGTCCATATTATTTGGTACTTGGAAAATTAAAAGAAAATTCCTTACTAAAAAAAAACTACAAGAACTGTTTTTTTTAGAAAAATAGTAATACAAGGCGAGAAATATTCAAGTACGTTGTCTTAAATTGAGAACATTCGACCTTAAAAACCGTGTAAGTACATTTGGTATCAATGTTCTGAGTACTAGATCGAAATGGTGAGAAGAGATAAGATAAATTTATTTAAAAACTTTTTGATAGGTATATGCTGTAAATGTAAATACCGCCAATTCAACTTGATTCGAGCGAAATGAATCAACTTCAAAATTGTCGTTATAATTTTAAGACCATTTTCAATTTAAATGAAAACGTTTTCAAATATTTAAATTTTTAAATATTTCAATATTTCTTAAAAAAAAAATACTCATGTGGCAACATTTTTTTAAAACCATCAACACGATTGGTTATATTATAATGAAATACAAAATTTTCTTTCATAAAAATATGAACAAAGAAATGGGTTCTTTTTTAAGGAAATATTAATATTTTGTTTAGAACTTTTGGAACCTAACTTTGTATATTACATTGAAAAAAATAAAAATTTTTGTTATACTTTTTAAGTCTCTTGCTCACCTTCTTGAAGCGTCTTCTTGCGTCGACGAATGTGTGGATGCAGTTTCGAGCAGATTGCCATTGTTATCCCCATCCCTTTTGCCCAGCGCTTGCAGGAGATCGTCCACGTTTCGTATATAAGGACGATCCCTTTCCTTTTCCCTTTCCCTTTCGCCACCCCCTCCGCCGCCGCCCATGCAGCTGGTAATGCTCCGATTGCCCACACTATTACTGCGGGATCTGGATCTGGACTTTTGCTTGCCCAGCCAGTAAACCTGATTTGCCAAATTTATTTCAGCGGCTGCAGCGGCCTTTCTTCTGCCCAATTGCTGTTGCTCCTGCACCTGCTGATGTTGCTGATGATGATGTTGTTGCTGCTGCTGCTGCTGCTGGTCGTTGGCCAGATACTCCCCGGCTATATGAACCTTAGGGGTACTGACCAACTGCAGACCCGTAGCTCCGAATTGCTGGGGGAACTCATGCAGCTCGAGGGGATAGCGAGGATCCATGGGCTGGCCGGGCTGACGGGGATACATATAGCCGTCGCGCAGGAACATCTTGCTGGTGGTATAGACCCTGTCGTTGATCTGGTACAGGCCACTCGAGCCGGGGCCCTCACCGCCCCCAATAATGCCATTTCGCACGTAGGCCGTCGGGCGATAGCGAACCAGCGGATTGTAACATTCGATTTGGGGGGTTTCGTCTTGAAACTGCGACGTCGAGTGCTGGGCTTCATATTTGTATATATTTTTTTCGTTCGTTTGTATTTCCTTATGTTTGCTTTATATTTTATTGTAATTTATAAACGCCACCTATATAATGCATCCAGTGGATACGTTTATTTATAAAGATACTCAGTGCTGTGCGCGCGCATCGTATCAAATGTTTTCCAGTTTAAGCGGGCATCAAACAAGCGACCGTGTGGCCTAATGGATAAGGCGTCGGACTTCGGATCCGAAGATTGCAGGTTCGAGTCCTGTCACGGTCGACACTCAAGTAAATTTTTTTTTTTTTTTTATTTATTATAAAAACTTGTATTCTTTTTTTTTATTATTTAAAATACTTTTGATATTAAAAACAAAAGCCATAAAACATAAGCAAGAGTTTTAAGAGGCATACACTTGAATGATTTTACTTAACATCTACATGGTTTGTAGATACACGCTTCACTAAGTGCGGTTGGTTTTGGTACTAGTCATAGGAAAAGTGAAGGCGTGCCAGTAAAATTAGTTTTAAGCAGTGAGTATTTAATTTAAAAAATGTAAAAAAAAAAATAAACAGTTAAAACTTTTTTGTTATAGTAGTATATTTTTTAAGCCCTCAAGGCTTTTTGTTTAAGGTCTAATGTATCTTATAGCCGCACAAAAGTATGCTATGATTATTGCTGCATTAGCATTCACTTCATTTTCAATTCGCAGCGCACAAAAGTAGGCAACTATTTTGTTTTTAGAACGCCTAAACGATGCCACAAAATATTATATATTTTTTAAACCTCATAAAAAAATATTGAAATATTCGATATTTAAGGTTTTTACGCGACCAACACGTTCGGCACACTGCACGTTCGATTTTCCACTGCAATTGTTTGATTTTATTGCAACACCGTCTTTGTTTTTCTGTTGTTTGCTGGAAGGCACGCACTGCCAATCCAATTAGCCAGGGTTCACCTTTCGAGCCCTCGTCTCTGCGCAAGGTAAATTGTTTTTCGAACCCAAAGTATTGACACAGTTTTCGAGTCACTTGTTTTGTTAGACACATTCGTCTTCCTGAACTGTCACCGAGCTGTCATACAAGTAAGGCAGGGAATAGAAAGAGAGCTATGCTAATCTGTCACTTCTGAGTTGGTTAATTAAAGACTGATTTGGCAAATAATGTGGCTTAGCCGTGCTCGACCCCAATACCAGGTTTACAAGCAAAAACAACATTGCGAAAATTCAAAGGTACCTCGATTGGGTCAGTGAATGTCCAGTGTATTGAACTTTTGATAGCATTATTGACGCCCCTTTTTTACTGGATGAATTGCGAATTGGGTTCAGCTTGGAAAATACTTTTTCAAGGTTATTTTAAAAGGGGTTAGAAATTACAGTTTTTTTTAGTAATTAAAAATGTTACTTAATTATTTCAAACTTTTTAGAATAACTAGATTCCACAAAACCCCATTCTATCTATTTGTATTCAATTTTTTCCCTTTCTCTTTTATCACTTCTCACACTCCACTAAATTTAATAACCCTTCTCAGTTTCAATCAGTAAACTTCCTATTCCCTTCACCTTATCTTTTTAGATTTGATTTTTTACACTTCCGCCTACGAATATCGGTTTTTTTTTGGGGTTTTCTTGTTCAAACGCGACGAGCTTCAAAAACGAACTGAAATGAAATGAATTCATTGAATTTGAAGAGCCTATCAGACACGAGCACATTTTCCAATGGATAGCGTTTCCAGCTGGAGAAGAATACAAGAACAAAAGCGATTGCGATAAAGCTGACTGAGTGGTGGACTGAGCTGAGCAGAGCCCGAGTGAAATGAGTCGAAATGAAGGGCTTAAGCCAAACAAATACACCCCCTAAAATGGCAATTGTGGAAGGGGCAGATGCTCGTATAGGGGCAACAACCAAAAGAAAACTTTGAAAACAAAGGAAATTTTTAAGAAGTACACCTGTAGTAACTAGCAAAACACACCCAATGTTTACAGTTCTTGGAAAAAAGGTAGAAAGACTATTTCAAGGTTCAAGCAAAGGGCTTCAAACTTTTTCATAATAATATAATTCTTAGATGTTGGTTTGAAAAATAATATGTATATCTGAGGAGCAATGATCTTTTATCGTTTTCTCCAAAAATCTTGGTAATTCCCAGGAAATAATATATTTTCAATAATCAAATGGTTGTACTTACAAAAACTCATCCTCGATGACGGGATCGGCCAGCATCTCGATGGCCTCCGTCATGGATCTGCAGGTGCGGTTCGTGTTCTTCTTCTTCTTGAGCTTCCTGCCCAAGTGGCGGCATCGCTGAACCGATGGAGCAGCTTGTCCCGCTTCCGTACCGCCAGCGGACTGGTCGTCGAACTGGCGTGACACAACAGCGATCCATAGCCATTCGTGGAGGAAATTGTTCCGGTATTCGCATAGAAATTCTGCGGTTGATATTGCGCCGGAGCAGTCAGTGTGCTATTCGAGTCGATTTTCTGAATGAGATTATACTCGGACTGCGGATATTTGCTGCCCAAATGGGATATGGATTCCGCTTTGGATGTCAATTGGGTTTGGGTGGCGGCGGTGGTGGAGGGTCCTTCATCAAGGCCACCCGGCGGGGGGGGGGAGGTGGGTGACGTCACCGCTATAGCTTACAGCCCGACGATTGCGATCGTTTTCCTTTTCCCTGAAAGGATAAGATTTTATTTACATTATTATAATATTTCTATATATCATCAATATTAAAGATTAAATTTAAATAAACGTATCATTATCATAATATCCATATCTCTATTCCCACCTATAACGCCTTCTCTGCATCGGCGGACTAAAGAAGCAGTTCGGTGACAAGGGCACAAAGTAACCCCATTGAGGATCCCGATCAGGTCCCTCATGGTACATTCCCAGTTGGGGCGTCACCTCCCTGGATCGACTGGATCTCAGAAGCGGCATAGAGACCCTTTGGGACCAAAACTCCTACTACAGCGATGTTGATTCCGATATAATGACGCTCCAGCGAAGATGTTGTGGTCGTAGCATCCGATTCTAGGGTGCAATCCGAATGATCTTTATTCTCCAGGGTGACATTACTGCCCACTGTATCATCATCATCATCATCCGTGGAACCCTCGGGTACCGTATAGCAGGTATAGTCGAATTGCGACATTTCACAATCTCTTTTTTCCGTCTCTGATTGTTTGACTTTTCGTTTGCACAAATTTAGTTCTTTGTCATTGTCTTTGCAACTCCCACGTTAAATGTTTCAATTATTTAATTAGTCCGCAACTTGTTGCTTTTTTATCGTAAGTGTTTTACTCTTAGTTTTTTCCTGGACAAACGTTAAATGACAATTTCAGTTGGCCGGACATTTAATTGCTCCACTCGAGTTTGGCTCTGTCGTAAATATTTTGTTGGCCAGAGAACATTAGACAGGCCAAGGCATTTATCATGTTCACCCTCTGGACATATCGTGCTTCCTGCCACAAAAAGAAAAACAGGGGCTGTGTATGTCCAGTGGGCACAATTAAAAGCCGTTTTGGACCCCTCGAAAAGTTGGCCTAATGAGGTGTTGAACGGAAGACGGTCTAGTTAAGATATTTAACTGGGACTTTGCTTTTCACAGACAATTTTCTTCGGAGGAAGACAAAGAAATCAGTGGGAAAATCAGGAGGCAATTTAACAGAACCTGTTATTATTTTTTGAAGAAGAACGTTTTTTATGCTACCTAATCTTAAAAAAAAAATATAACATTCTTGGGTAGTAATTATTAATTTATAATTTCTTAAATCTACACAGAATGGTTTTTTTAACTTTCTATGTTTTTTTATAGACAAGACACAATAAACCCCATTAACTCGAAAACGAAATGCGGTTTTAGCCCACAAGCTGCAAAATTTGCAACTTGAAAGTTCATTAACAATTTATGGTGTAAAAAGGAAAGTGTCAACAGTGAAATCCATCAACAATGCAATTAAAATGTCAAACAGGAAAACGACTGAGAGCCAGACTCCCCTTTGACCCATACTTCCTACATTGAAAGCAACCCCCCTTAAAACTCCCCATCATTTGCCTGGCACACGCAACTCTTTTTAAAGAGGCCCCATCGTAATGATGATGCAAAAAGTGATCCCTGAAGGGGAAAATGGGAAACTGGGTGCTGGGGACTGGGAACTGGGTTCCATCTGCAGAACTCACAGACAGCGACAAGCCGGATATGAAGATTACAACGGATTTGGGTTGCTACTTCTGCAGTTGTTTATATTTATTTTATTGTTGCAATTATTTTCCTCTTTATTGCATAGAATTGCATATTGGCGAAATAAAACATGATTAATGGGCAACGAAAGAAATGGGGGGAAAATCAGATAGACTATCTAAAAAGATGTGTAATTTATGATTGCTCAGAGGAAAATGAGCGAATAAGGCGCCAATTATTATGGAAGTCAGTTGGTAAAAGGGGAGAATGTGTTTATTTTAAGTGGAAAATCCTCTTAAACGATGTTATATATTTTACAATATCCTTCAAGGTGAGCCCTTTACTTGTTTTTATTTTTTGGTGTTTATAATAGTAATTTAAGCTCTGCTAGTATTTTTGTTGAATATTTCTGTTTTTATTTATATTTGCACATTTGATTATCGCGAGTACATTGTCCACAAAGCTCATGGCTTGGGCATAAATCATTCTAAAAATACATTGATTAGGTCAGCAGATTTCCCAGTCAAATCAGAAATATGCCAATTTCCCGTACTATGTATATTATTTACAATTTTTTATTAACAAATCACAGACACACACACACACTTGCACATTTTGTAGAATATAGACGATAGAAAAGTTCAAATGAAACGTGCGTCTTTTTTTCAATAAGAACTTTTCAGTTCACGCCGCGGCTTTTCAAAGTAAATGTGCTGACCGCCGGCAATTTCCGAACTGATTTCGAATAGAGCAACAGAAATTTCGTAGCCGCCGTGGGGCATCAGCAACCAAAAATACAACCCTCTCCGTCGGAAACATGCGCGACAGACTCGAAAATCGTCGAAAACACTGAGAAAATTGGGAGAGTGAGATGTTTGGGGAAAAAGGGGCGAGTGGAA